GAAAGATCACAAGTGTTCTTTCTTCAGGTGGTCGCCACTGTGGGCCCATAGGTCATTTTAAGAGATGAAACGTATAGTGAGCAGATGGAGATTTGGATGTGCAGTTCTAAAGGTGGGCTAAAGTGGGAATGATGAGTCACAAGCATATTGATAGGAACCTAATCCTTGACACTGGGTGTGGTTGTCCAGGGAAAACTACAGTGGGAAAGGCCGGGATTCAGAGCATAACCTTCACGGCTGTGGAAGAGGCGAATGAGGAGGAGCCCGTAAGGCAGTCTGAGAAAGTGGACCCAAGTTGCAGGAGGAAATGCAAGATAACGTTTATCTTCTCTGCTGAGACTTCATAAATTACATGTTCTAGAACAGTCGCTTTTTAAACATTAAATGTATATCAGAATCACCTGGGGTACTTACTAAAAATATAGTTTCTTGGACTCACCTCCAGAGATTCCTTTATAGCAAGTGCAGAGTGGTAGCCATTTCTGACTTTTTAACAGGCGTCCAAGATGATTCTAACATGAAATGTACCTTGAAAAAGACCTTTCTAGAAAACAATGTGAAATGGTTGAATAAGTAAGACTTTGGAATCAGATTTAGGTTAGGGTCCTGGTTTTTACCACTTACTGGTGGTGCGGCCATGAGGAAATTGGTTATTTTCAGGTTTGTTTTCCCATCAGTGCTGGGGATACAGTAAATACCTTCGCTCTCTCAGAATTATTACGAGATATATATGAGATATGCTACATTAAATTCCTGGCATATAGAAGGAGTTCAGTAAATGTCACTGTCTTTTTGGCACTTGGAAAACCCAGAACACAGCTGTAAACCTAAAAGCCAGTGAAAAAGAGAAAGAAATAGCTATCATTAACCTCATGCATTTTGTTTTGTAAGAGATCAGAGCCACTTGCTTTTTACCTTGAGCCTACTGAATTAGAATTGTGTAAAATTAAGTTACTGATTTAATAGATTTCATTATCTAGGTTTCTCCTGGCAGCCTTCAGTTCTATAGACATTTAAATTCGAACAGCATGATATAGGCAAGGTTAAAGTGTAAAATAGAAGTGGAAGGAAATTTAATAGAGGGACAAACACCTCAGAAATCTTGAGGGCATCAATGTGTTTTAACAATATGAAAAATAATACTCACCCTGGCTGATTTGGCTCAGTGGTTAGAGCATCATCCCATGGACCAATGAGTCGCAGGCTTGATTCTGGTCAAGGGCACGTACCTCAGTTGCGGTTCATCCCTGGCCCTGGTCAGGTTGTGCTGGCTCTCTCACATCGATGTTTCTCTCTGTCTCTCCCTCCCTCCCACTCTGTCTGATGATAAATGGAAAAAATATCCTCAGGTGAGGAATTAAAAAAAAAAAAAGAATACTCAAATTAATACTACTAGATAAGCAAGGAATTGTTAAAGTATGTTTAAAAGAATTGTCTGAGAAGTCAGGGAAGTATATATTTCGAAAGATTTCCATTATAATTACTAATATTTTAGAGTTTGGGCACTTAAAGAAATGAGCTTCTGCTATTTGGAAGTTCACTTAAATAAAATATTCTGTTCATCTTTTACAGTTCTGGGTAGATGAAGTTATGACCTTATTTCTCATGTGATTGGCATGTTACTGTTTTTAGCAATCTGTCTCAAGTCAACAGGTGACCTTGAAACTATCCCTGACGGCACTATGGAACTAAGCTATATGTAAATTGTTATGAATTGCCATCAAATGCTAGGGTTTTCTTCTTTTTCTCTGTCTAGAAGAGATGCTAATGTGAGGGGAGAAGAGCAGAGTCTTATCATAACCATATTTTGCCCATTTCATATCATGAGCTTCTGATCTCACACGGGCTAATTGGAAATATGGCTACTTTTTGGTTATGGATTTACAAAAGCATTAAGAAAGAGTTATGAATGTCCCTCCATTTTCTTCAGCCTTTCTGGTACCATACTCCTACCCCAACTTGGATGTTTATATGATTATGTATCCTCTAATACTCAATAATCAGCTGAATAGGTCTAGCTATTAGTTTCATTTTATTATTTTTACTAGGTTAAACAACACCTTTTGTTTTGTAGACTTTGGTTTTTTTTGGTGGAATGAGATTTTCTTCTGTTATATCTCTGATTATTTCGCTTTTTTGTTACTCTTCTTCCAGAACACCCGTTTTTTTCTTTGGTATTTTTGTTAGTCTTCCATATAGATCATATTCCCTTTAGTCTCTCTTTCTTCTTACTCTTTTTTCTACCTATCAAGGGAGTTTTTTAAGTATATCTGATCTGATTTTGCAATAATGTTCACAATGTTCAACTTTTTATCATTTAAATACATCATTTATTTTGCTGCTCCATTCTCCATTTTCTTATACAGTATTTTCCCATTATTTTAGCAGCTCCATTACAATTTCTGTCTCAGTCATTATTTTATATTATATTGTTTCATCTTTCATCTCTTTCAGAATTATTTTTTAAAGACGCAAAGCAATTTAATGTTTATTTCTGTTTTTTTTTTTTTTTTTTTGTAGTTTGCTCCTGCTTTCTACATCTTGAGTGCTGTGTTATGTTTTTGTATTATATAATATTTTTATGGCACCTGTGCTTGTTTGCTTGCTTTTCCTCTTATCCTTGAACAAGGATCCTTATCTCAGTAATCTGGGATGCTTACTTTTAGATTTTATTAGTGGTTTCTCTCTAGTTCATCTGACTAGCGGCTGCTCTTGTCCTTGCCTTAGATACTAACAGAATATCTGATACATGGTCCCATAGCCTAGATCTAGGGATTTTTTTTTATCTAAAGTGGATCTGCTAGACTAAGGAGGGATCACCTACTTTGGCTGTCTAGGTGGTTATCTTATTCCTAATTAGTCCAGCACGGGAAGTACCTGCTCCCCGCAGAGTGCTGAGTTTACCTATCCAGACACAAACTCCCAGGCCTTACACATTTCTATCCCTGCTCATGTTACATTGCTAAGAATTTAGACCCAGATTAGAGGTAGAAAGCATAGGCTTTAGATCAGATGGACCACGTTAGTGGAGTGATTGAGCACTTGTGCAGCAAGAGAGCCACTTCCTCCATCTGGTCCTTGGTGACCCCGATTTCCTAGTGAATTTAAGGAAATCTCTCAAAATTGTCCTGTATGGCTTTGCTATGTTGCTTCCGACTACTTCCATATCTTGTAGTGAAAATTCAGTCCTTTTGCTCCCTAGTGGATCATTGACTGATGTTTCAGGAGCACTTAAATTTGTGTTGTGTGTGTGTTTCAATGAGAAGTTAGGAAAAGTCTGGTAAAGTGTTACTAGCTTTTGTCTCACCATACCTGTGATGCTCCCTCACTTGTTTCAAGTCCTTGGTATAAATTTGTTGACTGAATGAATGAATGACTTAGTCTTCTTTGAGAATTTTAGAAGAACCAACTGTGCTTAACCATTTATTATTATTATTATTATTGTTAAGTTGTTCCCCAAAATTATTGTTCTAGTTAGGTATTTTGCCAAATATTTCCTGGCAGTGCATTCCATAAGATGTTCTGTGAAAAAGGGTTCTGTGGACAAGTAATTTTGGGAAATACTGCATACTAAATCTTTCTCATAGAAAGTCAATTAATATGTAAATATATTAAGGGCCTCAAGAAGGCCTGCACTAACAAAACCTGTTTAACTTTATTTAATTCAGAATTTCCCAAACATATTTGATCATAGAAACCTATTCGTATCCCATAAAGCACACTTTAGGAAATGCTGTGCTAATTTTTATAATTTTTCTGAACCTCATAGAGCTCATTGTAGACTGTTTCCACAAAGCATACTTCAAATTTTTGAATCTGAATTGTTTATACAATCATCCAAAGAGATGTAAATTATGATTAAGTATAATTAGAATGTCCAGATTTAAGTCAGGAATTGCTAACTCAGATTTCTTTTTCATTTGATATTTTGAACAAGATGTGATCCCAATGACCTTTTAAAAATGTACGTTACTTCAGGCATTAAACTAGTATATTTAAGAAAAGGAGATAAATATTATTTGATGCATTGAGCTGAGAGAGTCCATCACCCCACGATATGAAAGCATTTCTGTATTTCCCCTAAGCTCAGTAAAAACGACAGCTGTCCTTAATTTAATATTATGTGTTAATCTAGGAAATAAACCTATAGCTGTATAACTTTTCTGTCAAAATGGCATAACTGGGTGAAATAGGAAAGCTAATTTTATTTTCAGTTTCAGAGTATCAAATCCATTTTTGTATTCCTGCATTATTTTTCTTTAATATCTGACTAACGCTCAAGTCATCTTTTCTTTTGATACTTCAACATATGGGATTCAAGCGCTTTACTAGTTTCATTGTTCGCTGGTTAAGAAACACCCTCTTTCGGTTTGGTTTGGTAGCTGATGCTTCTCTGCTTGCTTTGCCACTCCTCTCCATGCAAATGCTTCCCTCACGACTTTTCAGGATTAATTTTGCTTTGTTCTGCTTTGCTTTTTAAATTTAATTACTATGAATTTTGGAATATTTTAATAGAAAAGTTGCATTTTAGAGGCTTTGGGGGTGGTGTGTAGGAGGGTGGTGATGAGAAGAGAGAGTGGTGAATAAAGCCCAGCAGTTTTCTCCAGTCAGGTGTTCCCACCGGCTTACCAGATCTGAGAGAACCACAGATTTGTGGAGGGTTTGTCCAGCAAGATCTGAGTTCCAGTTCTTGAATTTTTTCACATGAAAGTATCTTATTTTTACACTTCTTCTGAATAAGGTCGCTGTCTTCAGACTGTTCCTTGGGTTCACTAGTACATCTCTTGTAAACCAGCTCATCCCAAACACTTCTGTACTTTTAGAATTAAAAACAATATCTAGAAGCATTATTTGAACATTATATGATGAAAGCAGAATGACTAAAAATGACTCTTTCCAAGACTTGACAAAGAAAATCTAAATACGTAAAAGATAATTGACTGGGCATTTGTACTCAACTGTAAAAAATGAAATTCTGACTTTCATTTTATCTTCAACAGACAAACAACAGAAAGGTGAATTTGCAATAGATGGCTACAACATCAGAATAAATAACACGCTTAGGAAGGATGGAAAGAAAGATTGCTGCTTTGAAATCTCTGCTCCTGATAAACGTGCTTATCAGGTTGGAGTTTTTAATGTTGTTTTGAAATTAAGTTGATAAAATGTTCTGATTTCATTTATAAAGACATTAACATTTTGTTAAAACAACTCTCCCTGACATGTTAATAATAAAAAATACTGGCTTTTATATATTGAACATTCATATAAGAGGTAATACATTTAAAAAAAAAATTCAGATTAGTTCAAGTGATATCTTCTTGAAAGAGAACAAGTGAATATGTAATTTATGAGTTACTTCATATGTTGCATTTCATGTCTATTTTAATAGAACTGTGTGATTTTTTAAAAGAATCACATAGCAGAAAGAGTAAAATTATCAAAAGAAAAATATCAGCGTGTTAATGCGTATTGTATTGCTTAGGGTTGTGGGAGAAAAGGAAGGTAAAGGCACGTTATCAGCTCTGCAATTCAAGAGCTATCAGTGAGCATCAATATGGAATGTGTGTTTAATAAGTTTTAAATATCTGAGATTGCAGTTGAAAGCCAGTTAATTAAGTTGTCAGATAGTGTGTTGGAATCTGACAAGAACATTTTTAAGAAAACTGTACCCAGCAGTCTAAAGAAATTCACGGGTGTCTTCTAATTGTCAAGGGCAAATTTTGTTCATCAGTTCTGTCTTTGACATTGATGAAGAGAAGCAGCTTTTTTTCCTGCACAGCTGCCAGCTGCTGATCAGAGTTTCAAATCCATCATCCTCTGCTTCAATTACGTAAATTTGTCAAAATTAACTGTACATTATAAGAAGCATCCTTGCAAGAAAAGTAGTACTAGACATGAAAAGAATTACTAATGGTCTTAAAGAAATGATAAGAATGTGACATACCTTTTATTTCTACTGTGGTGATTTTTCTTGTTATTGTTTGTTTTTTTATTAGTTCACAGCAGCTTCTCCCAAAGATGCCGAAGAATGGGTACAGCAGCTGAAATTTGTATTACAAGGTAAGAGCAATACATTGAACAAGCTATTACAGCCTTTAAATACTAAATAACTGAATGATGTAGATTTTCATGTATCAAAAGCTTATTGAATTTCTGTGAGAATGACCAAGGGAACGTGACTGGTATTAATACAGACCATTGACTTTAGATTTATAAAAGTATTCTGTAAGTCCAATTGGCAAATTTGAAATTTACATATTTGTGCAACAATCAATTTTTTTAATGTTTTAATTTAAGGATAATAGCATATAATGATATTGTGACTTTGCGTTAATTTAGAAAATAGGGTTTTGAAAATCTCTTTTGCATTTTTAAAAATTCATGAACAAGTAAGAATTAATTATTTCAATGGTATTATACAGTCAAGATGTTTACTTCCCCAAACATGTCTTATAGATATGGGATCTGATGTTATTCCTGAGGAGGAGGATGAAGGAGGAGACTTATATGATGATGTTGATCATCCTCTACCAACCAGCAGTTCACCAGCCAGCAGGCAACCAATTGATGATGAAATCTATGAAGAACTTCCAGGTATTTATTATCTGATGATTCATTTAAAGATTTGGGGACTTTAATTTTTTAATTTTTAATGTCATCAAGTTGACAATATAAATAGAAAATGGTGAGCTATTAAGAACAAGGACAAAGAAAATCTTTAAAATTCTATTTTACGAAGAGGTTCTGCTTGAGATATTTCAAGTGAGTGGATGTACACTTATGAAAAGTGAACGGAATGTTAAAATGAAGCAGATACAGTCCTAATCTCATGAGACTTTTGGCTCATTAGCATTGTTTATGCTACATAATTTTTTAATTAAAAAATTGACTTGCCTTACAGTTTTTTCCACCAACTCACACATCATTTTTTATTTATACATCTTGGAAGTTCCATTAACCAGAAGTTCTATGCACACCCCATATGTCAACAACTTCTGCCTCATCTATTCATCCTTGCTGTAGTGTATGGCATTGTCTTAGAGGAATATTGTTGAATAAACAAAGGATTTATTTTATTGGATTTTTCTTATTTGATATTTTATTGATAGGAATGTTTTCTTATTCTACCTTTTTAAGCATGCTTTAGTATTTCTATGCCTCAGTACCTGTTACATAACATAAAATTAATTATTAGCTTATTTCACATGTAGTTTTAAAATGGAAAAATTGGCATGTGGAACTTAGGATGCTTAGAATATGAAAACATTCATGGGGTTGTTGCATTACTCTAGATTAAAATGAGCTTTTTTCTGGCTATTAAAAAATCTGCAGACAATAAAAAGAATTATGAGTAGTGTAAGTGAGATTTAACTAACATCATCTAGAGAGGCTACTTTTCTCTGACTACACAATTTAATGACATAGTATAAAACTTAAATTTGATTTTTAAAATACTTAAAATGTTCCAAATTAATGTACAAATATCATTTGCAATGAAGTCAGTAGAGTATAATAACTAGCACATGGACTTTAGAATCAAAAGTTTAAATTCTGCTTGTACCATCTAGTTCAGTGACTTTAAAAATCAGTTTCTTCATCTATATCATGGAGTGGATATGAACTAATGTATCGAAAGCTCTTAACACCATGCTCGAATCACAGAAAGTCCACAATAAATTGTACATCGCTATTGTTTTCATGATTGTATCTGGTAGATTCTTACCAGTGCTTATATAAGGTATAATAATAATTTTCTGAACAAGAATGAATGATTTTAATGGTATTTATACATTTAAGATATTATAAAAACCTCTCAAAATATGCATCTACATATTGCCTCTCACTACACTAGAAGATGATGATTAGTATACAAGCATAATTTTGTGGAGAATATTAGTATGTACATTTTGTTATTTTAACGAGCAATATGTTTATAACTCCTTCCTTTTTGATGTATCCTAAGGAAATGGCTATCAGCCATAGCATCAGTTATCCTCAAGAACATTCTCTTACTGCTTGCTTTTAGTCACACCATATCATTAATACAGTTATTTCAGTTTTAAAATGTTCTTAAGAGCTTGTGAGAATGTAGACTGATGTAAAATGCAAGAGCATAATCCCTTCAGCATATTACTGCCATATACATTTTATTCCTTTAAAACCCTGCCGTGATTGCATTACGTTACAGTTGTTGAATTAACTGTTAATTAAGTTCTGTGTTTCTTCAACTTGATCATTCTTTCCCTGCCCCACCAATAAAATATTGGTAAAGAATAAAGATCAAATATTCATATTATTTTCATAATAAAGACCCAAAGAAAATCTCCTGTAAGTAGCTTGAAATCTTAAAAATATGAAACATCTTTTATTTTTTCTCACTACAGATGTTTTCTTCCCTTTTCTTGGCCTGGAGCCATATGACTGTTGGAAAAAACTGGTTACTCTTTAAGTAGTTTTATTTCTTGCTGCAGTACTGGACGAAATCTAAGCTGCTCTGGGATTCCGTGGCCCCTGCTGGGATCCCAGTTGCTGTACAAAGTGATTGAGCTTGATAGAGCCTGCAACTGTGCCCCTGGGAAGGAGGCTGGTGAGGCAGCTGTGGAATGTCTAGTTCTTCTTTCTCCCCAGTTCAACCAAGACCCCTTCAACATCTGCTCAGTTCAAGTTTGTCAAGTTTGAGCCAGTTGCTACAGAGGGGATTTTTCTTGATACAAGCCCTAAAGTTGTCTCTTAGAGTTAGAGCTTTTGTTTGATTAAACATCTAAAACTAGAAAGGTAACTTTTTTCCTTTTAAAGAAAATGATCCCCCTTTCAGGATAAAAATGAAGCTAACTGCTTTTACTTTGGTGAAATAAGAATATAATTCTGAGAGGAAGTGAAAACAGTGCACTTACTTACAAACTGTTGGTGTTTTCCAGTTCTGTACAAAGAACTGCATTTCTCAGAAATCTGACCAGTTAAATTCCCAGAATTAATAAATACGGCAATTTCAACACAATTTTCTGTCAATTACATATAGTTGAAAACTAATCCTCTTAGTTGAAAGATGAAGCGTATAAATGTGTTTGAAGAAAAATCTAAGCATTCAGCGTTACTTTAAATCACAGAGTTCTTCTGAGAAAGTAAAGCTCTTATTTTAATAAATGTATTTGTTAATGTAAAGTAAACCTGCAGTGTTTAAGTCTCAAGAGTAAGAAGAAGAAAACATTGTTTAAAAAATTGTATTGCAAAATATCCCTTGAAAAATATTTACAATTCTATGGGAGTATAAGTAGTTTCATTGTAATTGTTTTTCAGTTAGAATATTCTAACTTTATTACAGCAGCTTCTCTTTAATTTTTTGTTCATTAATTTTTAACTAACTTCATAAAAGAGTAAGAATAAATTTGTAAGATTTCTTTGTTTTTAGGGGATTTATACAAATGTACGGAAGAGTTGAGAGAGTACTATTTCTGGGGAGTATTAAAAGTATTTGCCTTTTCTTCAAATACCCTAATGCTTTGACACCTTTTATGTCTTAGGACCTATTAACACAGGGCAAGTCAGGTTTGCTTATATTATAATGTTACTATGGCATATTTGTGTTTGCAGAGCTAACATATTGATCAAAGTGCGTTAAACTGTTTCATAACACAGTAATGAGTTCATTTGGCTTAGCACAAATTTCAGAAGTTATTGCTCACTTTTAAATTAGAAATGCAGAGGAGCATTTTTATTTGATTTTGAATCTTGAAAAAAACAACAACAACAGTACTTGGGGAATTGCCACAGAAATCGACCCAACTTGCTCATCTCTTCTAGTTACCATGCCACTTGCTTTTTAATTATTTTTTTTAATGTCAGGAAATTATGCAGAAGCAACAGAAACAAAATGATGTTTCTAGATATAGACTGAATAGAATTAGCCCAGTAACAAGAATGGTAACCACCCATTAGCCCGTTAGCCTGTTTCGATTGCGAAAATGGCAGTGGAGTGAATGGAAGCTACGCAGACCATCTCCCAGGACCAAACTGGAATTACAACTAAAATAAAGACAAATCATTGGGGGGAAAGCAACAGAAGCAGCTTGCAAGGACCATATAACCGGGGACACTGAATTGATCCTTGTAGGATGGCGGAGATGTGAGATGGGGGCTGGGAGCCCACAAACAGCAGTGGTCTTAGCTGTGAGCAGTGCCCTTGGGGTTAAACTCCCAAGCCCACTCCACAGTGCAGAGCCAGGACAGAGCACTAAAATAGCCACAGCCAATCACGTTGGGTTCTGGCAGAGGGAGAGCAGACTGGACTGTAACTGTGTGGGGACACTCGGGATTTGGAGGGCACTAGAGCTTTTGCTGAGTTTCGGCCACGCAGGACAGTGGCCATCTTATTCCTGCCCAGGGCTCCCCACCCAGGTGGGCCATGGAAATGCAAACTGAGGCTTATTAACAACCAGCATCTGCCCCACCCTCGGGAAATCCTCTTATGCAGAACACCTGAGGGAGTTTTTTATTCAACTGAGAACCCAAGGCTCTTCAAGTAACCACAATTAATAGCCTTCAGGCAAAAAGCTAGAGGATAACTGAACTGTTCCTGGGTTTGCAAATCTACCCGGGAAGGTAAGACTTGACAGTCATGTTTAATGGGGGTCCTCCCACGCTCATCCAAACCCAGTAGAAGGAGCCACAAACAGCAGAATACCAACACCCACAGGGAAAATTTGGCAGGCTCCAAAACCCACTGAGATAGCCAAAATGGTGAACAAGATACCTCTACTGAAGATGAGATAAATGAAATACAGTTAAGCAAGTTATCAGAGGTAGAATTCAGAGCCATGATCTTGAGAAAGCTCAACAGCATGAGTAAGGACATCAACACCATGAGTAAAGACATAGAAACATTGAAAATCAACCAATTGGAAATGAAAAACCACCAAGAAGAAATGAAGAATGACATAGCAGAAATAAAAACATATTGGAAGGACTAAACAGCAGACTAGAGGAAGCTGAGGACCGGATAAGTGAATTAGAAGACAGGGTAGAAAAAATTAACCAATCAGAAAACCAAAAGGAAACAACAATTAAGTAACAGGAAGACAGCTAAAGAGAACCGTGGGACAACTGGAAATATAGTAACTCATAGGAGTTCCTGAAGAAGAAGATGATGAACAAGGGTTAGAGAATATATTTGAAGAAATAGTGACAGAAAACTTTCTTAATTTGGTGAAGGAAGAAGGCATTCAAGTTCAAGAAGCACAGAGAGCCCCAAGTAAGAAGAACCCAAACAGGCCCACACCAAGACACAGTAATTAAAATGCCAAAAATTAAAGACAAATTGAGAATCCTAAAGGCAGCAAGAAATAAGCAACAAGTTACTTACAAAGGAACCCCCAAAAGGCTATCAGCTGACTTCTCAACAGAAACACTGCAGGCCAGAAGGGAATGGCATGAAGTAATCAAGGTCATGAAAAACAAGACTCTGAATCCAAGGCTACTCTATCCAGCAAGGCTATTATTCAAAATAGAAGGTCAAATAAAGGCCTTCCCAGGAAAAAAAAAAGGGGGGGGAGGGGGCTAAGGGAGTACATTAGCACCAAACCAGCAGTGCAAGAAAT